TTCATAGTAATCCTTTTTTAGCTACATTAAATCTCCAATAATTTGTCAATGTCTATTAGAATTATCCAGTGACTCACTAAAAAAAATTCCCAATTGCAAAACTTCCAATTGACAATAAATTTTTTCCAATACCTGATTTAGTATATCAAAATATTTTTCTACATACAGTCACAATCTTTACCATGCAACAGTTAATGTAATACCAGTGTTATCCCTCATTGACACAGGCACTTACATCAACATTAATTTTAATATAAATATCAAAAAATTATTTTGTCTTGCATAATTCACCAGTAAAAATCACTGGCCGAAATGATGGCTACTTAGTAATAGGAAAACACTCTTATTCAACTAAATTCTTTGTTTTCAGTCAACTAATTTCACCTCTTATCATTGGTATAAATATTCTCAATAAACACTTAGCTATTACACTTCATTTTTGAGGAAAACCTTAACTAATCCAATTTAATCTTGACCTTTTTTGACATGACTTTTAAGACAAAACAATCCAAATATTAACTTTAACAATAATGAAATTATTTGCATCCTAAATGATGATACGATTCACATTAGTCAAAGTATTTGGAATGCAAAAACGCTTTGTTGGTTTAAATAATGCATAATCTAGAGTTTGTACCATGTTGATGAGGTCTTAGATTTGTGTTTCAGATGTGCAAAAAAAAAAGTTAAGTTGTGTACTTTGAGGGAAGTGATGGTCTTGTTTACAAAGCAAATGATTACTGCCGCATAGACTTAAGAACTAAAACTTCCTTACTTGTTACAGCAAACTAAAAAGTTGTTAATGACTTTAATTGAATCTTTTACCTTTAACTTCGAAGCATTTATGAACAAAGTTGATTGTTTTTCTTAAGAATTTTTAAATACATTTGCAAAACTAACAAAAATTGATTTAAAAATATACCACATTGGTGTTTTTAAAAACCTTATTTAATAACCAATTTCTCTAAAGCTATAAACATACATACTCATTTAGTCTCTTATTCTGGTCCTAGAATAGACGATCTCTAAACAAGATAACTATAAAAAGTATATTGAGTAGAATAGACCTTAAAAATGCCTACCAATAAGTCTTACTTAGAGAAAAAGACTATCCCCATACTGCTTTTGAAGCATATGGAAAATTGTGGAAACTTTAAAAAACACCAAATTGGATGCATAAACACTCGACCTTTTAACACGTGAATGACTTTTCAGTCTCAGAATGCAAACTACTAAATTCCTACCCTTATCTATTATAAGTGGATTCAATCAGAAGAACCAAACGGAAACAATATTTACAAAAGCAGCAAATGATTTTGGAATTAAAGGAACAATGAAAAGTACATACTTTAAATCCTCATATGGCTCCTTGGACATAAATATTAGAATCTTGAAATTTTCTCCTGAAAGATTTCAGGCGTATTTGGACCAACTTTAATCAATTAAACAGCTTGATAGACTTTTTTACATATTATACTAAATAAATTAGTAATTGTACCAAACTATCTACTCTACAGACTAATTCTTGTGTCTCAATAAGGAAAAATATCCCTCTTGTATACAATAGTTCAAGTGATTCAAATGAAGCCACTTTAATTATCAAAAAATTTAAAGACTAACTAACTACTGCATCTTTAGCTACATCAGAAAGTCTCCTAGCTACATCAGAAAGTCTCCTAGCTACATCAGAAAGTCTCCTAGCTACATCAGAAAGTCTCCTAGCTACATCAGAAAGTCTGTCAAAGAATGAGAAACAATAGCTATTATAAAATGTCGTGATTGAGATTTGTTTTTAACTCCAATATTTGATATTTAGCAAATCAAGATATTGTCTCTTTTTTTTATTTCTGGGCGAATTTCTAAGATAAAAGTAATAAACTCGCAAGATGGCATCTGTAACTATCTGAATATTTTTCAATATTATATACAGATTTCTGATTGTAAGCATACCTGAGAATCAAAATTTCATTCTAGTCAATGATGATGAGTATTCCAGATACCCATTTACATTCCCTTGCTCCTAAGTTACCTCTTGCAATGTACTAAAACACCTTTTAGAAAATGTTTTTTTTGGAACTTCTTCCTGCATCTTAGACCAAAGTACACAGTATGAAGGAATAAAACTAAACAACTTCCTTATGGGTGGAAGTTTGAACAAGATAAAAAAAAACCCAATCAATTACAAGGAAATGGTTAATGTTGAAGATTAAGCTTCGTCATTATAAGAATGACAAACTTAGCTTAAGTAAGTTTTGAGTTAAAAAAAACTGGAAACTGATACATCCTGCATTTCTATCTACCATTAGATCACTTTTATACACAGGTACAAATAGCGAACACAATTAAATAATGGCTTTTAAAAAAACAACTGTTACTTATAAGGCTTTAACATATTTGCTACCAGACTCTGGTAATACTTTCTTGCACAAAAACCAGCTAAGATTGAAAAGATAACTAGTGGTATAACTGGTTTCCTTATGTGAAACCATATCAGCCCACT